TGTCACTAAATGGTCAGTCAGGATTTCCCTAGGGAAGTTCAGCTTTGACGTCACTTCCTTTGTCAAGAGTGGCCCTCCCTGAAGAGAAGCTAGGAATCTAACGCTCTATGGCCAAGCAACGATGCAGACGAAATTCCCATGGGCTATATGGAGTCAACCAGCTCCTAACCTGGAGTTTCATTTTATAATTAAATTCTCTTTAGGCACAAGGGGGCCTTTTAGAAAGTCTTGGTAATGTTCCATGTCTTAATCCACTTGAGAGAGGATTCAATGAGTGTTAGCATTTTCATGCTTTCCGTTAACGTATACTAAATACATAGAATGGTCTTCAAAAAAATGTGGTCTCATCAACAATGTCAGATCCTAGGACAGCATTCTGGGTAAGATTGTGATGTGGCTGAGACCAGTGGTGTATGCTACTCCCCCTCTCATCCTTTAGAAGATAGCTCCTAATTTTGATGGGACACAGGATCAGTTAGAATAACACTTTCTAGCTCCTCGTAACTGGATGCAGCTGTGTGACTAACAGGATGTAAGATAAGCAGAGGGTGCAGTGACATGCCCTTCATTCCTTCCTTTCTCCTTCTTTCTGTTTTGAAAGAACATACAATGGCTGGAGCATGGCAGTTCTCTTAGTCCTGGAAGTGGACATGATGTTGTGGCGGTGGATCACAGGGTAGATGTTCTGCAGTGTCTTGGGGCTCCCACCCAGTGCTGTATTGCTTCCTTCCTCCTCACTGATTACCCAATGAATATGATTCTGTCTTGATTAAGCAACTATTTGACATCTCTGTTATTTGTAGCCAAACTAATCCCAGCTGAGACACAGGAGGATACCAAATCCAACTTCTTCCAGAGAGGGGGAGAGAGAATGTGATCAACTTGAACCAGATGATTGGTGCTGTTTCTTAGGCTATGTGGTGGGCACACCAGTGCCAATGAGGTTGTATTTCACACCTGTGTACTTCCTGGGCCCTGGGTGCTTCCTCCCCAGGTCACTGTTGTCCCTTCTGGCTGATCTGACACAGCTGAGGTTGGACCTGGGCATTTTGGAAGATGAGAAGGGGAGTGGAAGAGAAGACAGAAGAATAGGTCAGTGGACCAGAGATTGACTCAGACTCTGGGTCATCTGCAGGGCCTCCTAGGGAAGGGGGATGGAGACTCCTGTCCACCCTGCTTCCTGCTCCTACATCTCAATGGTTGAATCAGACAGTTAAGAGCCTGGAATTCTCCCAGTTGCCCTATTATCACCTTGCCTCCTTCGCCCCTTCTACCCTCAGCTTGGTGCCTGCCAACACGCAGGCCCACATCCTGTGGCAGGCCTCATCATGGAGCCCATCTGCTGGCATAGGCACAGCCTCAGTAAATGCTCACAAGACCCCTTGGACACAAGTAGGTCTGGCCCCTCTTCCAAGTGGGTAAACTGAGGCCTGGAAAGGTACAATGTCCGAGGTCGCACTGGCTATAACAGTTTGCACTGGAGCTGAACCCTGATCATCTGACTCATGGTATTAACACCTCCCGTAAACTGCTGTGACCTATTTTGACTAAATGAGAATGTTGTGATGACCAGACTCTGTTTCATCTGAGCTCACACTGCTGAGTAACACATAAAGTTTGGCTGAAGGCCTAGTGCAGAATGAGCATGTGATGACTGTCAGCTATTGGAATAATGAAAACAATGATTATACAATGGGGAATAGCTGGCAGTAGGGTGCTGAGGTTTGACAGGAAAGCTGAGCCTCCCCACACCAGAGCTCCACACAGGGGGTGCTTGCAGTCCTCCTTGCATCTCACTCACTGATGGCTGGCAGTAGGCAGTGGTGGTGGTGGTCCCTCCACATTGCTCCAGCACTTCCAAATTACTGTCATGGCCTTCAATCATTTTGTTTATTTGAAAGGTGCACGCACGCGCACACACACACACACACACACTTCTGTCTGCTGATTAACTTCTCAAATGCCCACAGCAGCCAGGGCTGGGCCAGGTCTAAAGCCAGGAGACAGGAACTCTATCCTGGTTTCCCACATGGGTGACTGGGTCTCAATCATTATTTGCTAATCTCAGGCTCTACTAGCTGAATGGGAAATACTGTAGCTGGGACTTGAATGGGCATGCTGATAGGAGATGCAGGTGTCCCAAGTGGCAGCTTAATGTACTGTGTCGCAATGCCAGCCCCGTGACCTAGGTCTTGTCTGATCCTCACTAAAAGATGGAGAGAGCAATGCGCTGTGTTCCTAGTTCTCAGATGAAGAAGTTGAAGCCCAGATGAGTTCAGCAAAGCTCCTCATCACAGCCGGTTGGGAATGGACCAAGTCTCCCCCTCTACTTCCAAGTGGGAGATGTGTGTCTAGAGAAGATCACCGAGTATCCCAGGTGCTTGGGATGGGGAAGCACTGTAGGAAACACCGTACTCAAGTATTTGTTTGCCCAATAAATGGGCCAAAGAGCAGAGAGGGGATGCGACTTGTCCAAGTTTGCAGAGCCGTAGGAGAAGATGTCCCCAGAGAGGTTCTCTCCTATGGCTGGGGATATGAACTGACCAGGGCCATACAGAGACAGCACTGACACACATCATTTTGCTCTGCTGATGCAATAAGGAATGAAGCTGCTGAAGATGAGCAAAGAAAGCATTCTGTGAAACTTGTGCATTTTGGAGAAGGCAGCGGAGCAAGGGTCTCTGCCTTGCAGGCATAAAATTTCTGCTTCCCAGCTGAGTCACCATGGGAAACAGACTTCATCCCTCTCAGCTTCACTTAACTCACCTACAAAATGGGAGTGGCCATGCTCACATTGTGTATTTGTGGATTGAATGTACGCAAAGTACTTAGTTCAAGACTGGGCCATGGTCCAGGCTTTGGAGAAAAGGGAATCCTACTCCACTGCTGGTGGGAATGCAGGCTAGTTTAGCCACTATGGAAGTCAGTATGGAGAACACTTAGGCAATTAAAAGTTCACCTACCATATGACCCAGCAATACCACTTCTAGGAATATATCCAAAAGACTTGTTATATGACAAAGCAACATGCACCCCAATGTTTTTTGCAGCACTATCAACAATCACAAGAACATGGAAGCAACCTAAATGCCCATCAACAGAGGACTGTGGTTCATCTACACTATGGAATACCACTCGGCAATTAAAAAAAAATGAAATGCATTACTTTGTGGCCAAATGGGCCAAACTAGAGACCATTATGCTAAGGTAAATGAGTCAATCCCCAAAGGCCAGATATTATATGTTTACTCTAATATAATATAATATGATGTCAAATCTAGATATCATATGTGAATCTTACTCTATGTTATTCCTTATTTATCAATACCTAATGTAACAATAACTTGTGATGTAATTCATTAATCAACCATCCACAAGAGGTTGAGTGTATATAATCACCTGAGATGGTCAATGTCCCCTTTATCACTGTTATTGATACTGACCATAAACAATGAAGGCCTAGGGCTGGGAGACACTCCAGTGGAAGCATGATGGACTTGGGAAAATTCATGATGGACACATATTATGAACCTAGAGGGGAGAACAGAGTGGAGGAGAGGAAACTGGGCAGTGGGGAGAGGGGGAGAGGAAAGCCCACTGCCAACTAAATTGCATCAAAAAACAAAACAAAACAAAGACTGGGCCATGGTGAGCGCTCAGTGAGTGGGGCCACTGTTATCAGCTGTGTTACTAGAATTGCTGGGATGTACTCTGATCTGCTCCAGTGTCTTGCAGAGTGCCGAGCCCAAAGAACAGAGACTGTGGGAGCTTTGTCACTCATCTCTGCATCTCTGGTGCCCAGACAATGCCTGGCACCAAGCAGCTGTCTCTTGGTAAAGGTGTGTTGGGTTGAGCTCAAAACTTGCTCCTGTTCATGGTCACTGTGGGGCACATTGTACCTTCTTAATCCTCTGAAGACAGGATCCACTAGAGCTTCGCCAAGTGCCCAAGGGGCCAGGCTGGGCCAGTGAGGTTCCCATGCCTGTGTTGCAGCACAAGAAGGGGAAGGCTCAGAAGTTTCCTGCCCAAGTCACGAGGTTCAGCTGAGATGGAGCCATGACCTCAGTGTGAACTCCATGCACGGGAAACAGGTCGCAGAGGGACAATTCTCTTCATCAAATTCCTAGGCCCCTCACCCCCAGATTTTGAGTGTAGTTGGGTAAGGTCATGTGGTCTACAATGACCTTAGCTCTTCTCCTATGCGCGCTCAACCCTGCTCTGGGATCAAGGTCTAGCTGGATGCCAGCCCATCAGTAAGGACCTTGGAAGCTGCATGCACCCCAAATCTTCTCAGGCAGGGACTGCCTGGGGCAGCTCAGCTACAAGACACCCACAGGGCTGCATCCTGGCCCAGCTGACAGCCTCACTGACAGGTTTATTACCAAGTTTTACAACTTCCAAGCTTAGTCATTGCTTGTGTCAGCCTGCCCAGAACCAAAACACATAGCTTAGCCCTGACCCAGACACTGAAGCTGGGAAAGGCACGCCCGCCCTGGGCAGAACTGGCTCCCACAGCCAGAGCCGGGGCCTGGGAGGCAGCAGGGCTGTGGTTTGAGTGTGCTTTGATGATCCAACCACTGTAGCCCTCATTTTCATCTGGTCTCTTCCACTGAGTGTTCAGGGCAGCTACCACCTGAAAACCTGATGGAGGCAGGAAGGGGCTATCTCATCTAGTCCATTAGCATCTCTCTGCCATGGCAGAGAGAGCCATCACAGCACCTCTGCTCACAGGTGGGGGGGAAAGCCAAAAGGCAGTGGGAGTCTTGACTGTGGGGAGCCAGGATGCAGGAGTTAGGGGTCGTTCTCCTGTTCTCTGAACCTTCCTCCACCTGACTGAGGGCCCCACCCAGGCTGGAGAAGAGATAAGGAAACAATCGCTCTGGAGACTGACTCCTGCCTGCAGTTGGGGACCAAGTAATTGGAGGGTTCACCAGGCTTGCCCAGGTCTTCTGTAGTGTGGCTTCTGGGCATTTGGATATGCATCTGTCTTCCTTCTCCAGATTGTCATTGAACACACACCCCAATCAAGCCCTCACTGTTGCCTATTCGATTGAATATGAGAGTCTCCTTGTTGATCTGCCAGGAAGACAGCCTCATGCCAGCTCCTTGAGTTGAAGAACAATCATTGTCTTCTTCTTTCCCTCTAAGGGAATTTTACCTTCTCAAGGACAATCACTTTCCTTCATTTCTCCTCTTCTCTTTGCCAACAGACATTGGTGGCTTACTCTAGAAATTGCTCTTGAATTCTGGCTGATTATAATACAGTATGATCTATTGCAATGTTAAGCAATGGAGACTCAATATTAACATGTGTGAAAGTGTCCTCACTGCAATGTTTATGTAATGCTGAGGTGGCCCTGGGCCACTGGGCAGCTCCAGGCTGCAGGGGTCATTTGTCTATATCATATCCAGAGCCACATCCCCACATGTGTGCCTCATGACTGGGCTGGGCTGGAACAGCACCAATGTCTGCTATTTGGACTTTCAGATCTAGAAAGTCTAGATGTAACCTCAACTCTGCCCCTTATTCATTTGACAACACAGGCCAGTACATTCCAAATTCCTTTTTTAAATATGCAAAGTGGTAGTAAAATGGTAGAGAATATAGTCTAACCTCAGTGAGTTGTGAGGTTCCAAACTGTACTATGGAAGGCATTTGGCTAAGTGTCATGCTATACACATTGAGACACTCGCATTCAGTTTTGGAGTGCCTAGACTTGAGTTCTGCCTCCATTTTCCTATTCCAACTTCCTGCTAATGCAAACTCTGGGAGGCGCCAGTGATGGCTCAGATCATTGGGTCCCTGCCACCCAGATGGAAGACCTGGGCTAAGTTCCAGGTTCCCAGCCTCAGTGTTGGCTAGGAGGCTATTGTAGGCATTTGGAGAGTGCAACAGTGTGAGAAAGTTTTCTCTCTCTTTTTATCTCTCTGCCTTTCAAATAATAAATAAAATACTTGATTAGCAACTAATGCTGTGCAATAACCCACCCCATTTCAGGCTTCGCACAATACTATTTATTCCTGTTGTTTTTGAGTATTGGCTGGCACCTGCTGATGTGGCTGGGCTTGGCCAGGCCCATCTTTCTTCAGGCTACAGGTCTTGCTGACTCAAGTCTACACCACCAGCCTCAAATTGAGCCCCTCAAAGTGTGTAGAACTTGGTACCTATGCCCAACACTCTGCCCTTAATTCTCACCATTGGAAGGTCAAGAATAGTGTAGCAAAGATGGTCACAGCAGGCTGTACTTCCAGCTTCTCGTCCCAGCCCATCAAGGGCTCCCCTGTAGGCACAGAGGCTTTTGCTCTGGATTGCAGTCCCTCTCTAGCTTCAGTCCTCTCTCTCGCCACACCTTCCTTCGATCCCTTGGACTCAGGTTTGTCATCCAGTGAGGTCATGTTGCTAAAGCCTTAGACTCATGAAAATATTGAATCCTCTCATGCATGATAAGTGGAGGTAAGATTATCAGTTGCCAAGGAATCCTGCCCAGGGCAGCCCACCTCGGTGGGTAGGACAGGGCAGGGAGTGGGGCCAACCTTGCAGGTGGCCTGTAGGTAGCAGGGCAACCAGCCACTATGCCAGAGCTTCTCTGCTCCCAGACCACGTGATAGACACTTGTGTCCCCAGTCACAGCAATGCCTTTGGAAGAGTGGCCAGCCCCTGCCTCACACAGGGAATTCCTAGCTAATGGCAGTCAGAACAAAGAACAAAATCACTCCATAAATGAGTTGGTAATTCTTACAAGGATTCTATGAGTGGTTTGTGCTGCCATGTTTATCACTAATAAGCAGCTTCAACATCGTTTTAGTTGCTTAGGGAAAAAATATTCTTTAAAATGTTATACAGTGTTTTATGATCCAGGTTGTAAACCCTTCTCACATCTCCTGATCTTAGTGTCCCCTCAATGCCCTTCCTAAGGTGCCCCCTTGCTTCTATAGTCACTCAGTTCCATGTGGCTTTGCACCTGAGCCTCAGGCAGGGGAAATGCAGGATCAGCATCCTACCTTTGTCTGGACCAAATGTGGTCTTTTCTTGCACCAGCACTCCTGTGTGTCTTCATGCTGAGTGTCCCCACCTTGAGCCTTGTAATAGTTCATACAATGCATGGATGCACTTGGCTGCAGGAGGGATTCAAGCATTGTTCTGCACTTCTCTGTGAGAGCGTTTTTGGGATGAAATTAACATTTAAAGCAGGAGACTGGGAAAAACAGATTGCCCTCTGTGTTGGAGGAAGGTCTCATTTCCCTAGGTGAAAGCCTGCATGGAACAGAAGGCTGACCTTCTTATAAGCAAGCAGTGGTGCCTCTTGCCCAACAGCCTTGAGCTGCGGTAAGCGTCTTTTCCTGCCTTTGGACTTCGGCTTAAGCATCAGCTTTTCTTGGATCCCTAGGCTGCCAACTTTAGGACTGGAACTCATGCAGTTGGCTCTTTTGGTTTCTAAGCCTTTGGACTCAGACTGGCACTATACCCAGGGCCCTCATGGACTTCAGACTGTTACCAGAAAAACTGTTTTTTTCCCCTCAGGTTAGTATTGAAATAAAAAGCTGGAACTGGTTGCAGACAGAGAAGTTTCATTTGTAAAGTGACCAGGCGAACGTGAAAAGAAGAGGGAAGGGGAGAACACCTCCCACGAGAGGGCTGGAAGGTGGGGTACCTTTTGAAAGGGGAGAGGGAGAGACTCCAGATTTTCCAAAGAGTCTTGGGATTTTAAGCATTCTCTGACCCCTCCTTGTCTGTGCAGGAACCTGCGGGGAAAACGTTCCCCAGTGGTAGTCTCTCAATCAGTTAGGAAATGGCTGGGCAACTCTTGTGCCACCCACTTGAAGGTGTGGCTAAGATTTTAGCAGGCTTGGGAAGTCTTACAGATCACAAACATTGAGACTTCTCAGTCTTATAACCTCATGAGCCAATTCACTATGATTAATTAATCAATCAATCTCTCTGTCTTTTCCCACTCCCAACAGGAAGAGGATAGTTGTATATATATGTAGGGATATGTGTGTGTGTGTGTGTGTGTGTGTGTGTGTGTGTGTGTGTGTGTGTGTATCCATCCTGTTTCTTTGGTGTCTCTGGGGGTACCCAGCCTAACACCAGCCCAATTCCTCATACCCGTTTTTGCACTTCTTCTCTGGCATACTGGTAGTCCCCAAGAGGAACATGAGAAGAAATGCCTTCCACCCCAAGCAGCTCTGGTCACTGCTCCCACATATCTTATTGTTGCTGCCTTCTTTCTTTCTTGTTGTTGCTTTACCACAGTGTCCAGTCCTGGTGTTGGGTGGACACAGAATTCCCCGAAAGATGATCAGCTGGCCTAGAGGGGTCATTTATCCTAAAGCCCTTCCCAAGTCCCTGGACTGGGACTTGCTGGGTGCTGGTTTCTGTGGTGCTTGCTGTTGTTTTTTCAGAGATTTGAGGCTGAATGTCAGGGCTGCTAATCCGTCTCCAAGAGGCTGCTGGCTCAACTCACATGGAATTAAATCCAGAATTAAAATTCAAAGATTGTTCTGAAGTGGAAGGGCAAACTTAGTTATTCCCTTGGGAAAAAAGAACATCTCAACGATGGATTGAGAACGGTTTGGATCAGGGTCTGCTGGGCCAGTGGGCTGATTGTCTGCTGCACATTGAGGGGAGACAGAGTCCCTGTCACCACAGGTTATACCGATGTCACGGGCAGCCTGGAGGGGGGAGCACAGGAGGAGGCAGCTTACTACCCTCCCAGTTCTGTCCTGCAGTTCTCCTGACAAGCCAAGGCTCCCACAGTCCCTTTCTTGGGGCAGACATTTCCCTGTTGCCTTGCTTCAAGTGCTAACCACTTCCCAGAAACCCTGCTCCAGAAGCTGCCTGTGCCCGTAACTGGAGAAACGCAGGAGACTGAGATCCCACAGGCAACCTGCTTTCAGCCACGCTACTGAGCCACTCAAACCACCACTCAGCCACGTCCACGGGCCAGCTCCCTGGCTCTCAGTGTTTAGCCCAAACTCATGCAGAGAGGCGGCACAGTATAATGGCTAATTCTAGAAGGACTTTTTGGATTCAAGCTCCAGTTCTACTCATTAGTAGTTGTATGAGCCTAGGAAATGCAGTTTATTCCCTGTGCCTTACTTTCTTCATCTACAGAATAGGAGGGATAATGGCTTTCATCTTTTCATTTTCGTTTCAGTTAAATGAATGAGGATTAAATGAATGAGACCATCAAGGCCAGAGTCAGCTCTCTCATAGGCACTCGATTTGCTTGTCTTAATTATGATCAATTGCAGGATGGCCACTGGAACCTTCTCTATATTTTCTCCTCTGTTGAATGAGGTGAGCATTGCAAGGTGGTGCCACGTACAGGGTGCACAGCGGGTTCTCAGAATTCTTGTTCCTTCCTTGTCTCCTTTGTGAATCCCTTCTGATTGGTGGTTTATAGAAGCAGTAACCAGTGAAGCCATAGAGGTGTTAAAAACAGACAACATCGGTGCCCTTACCTTGATGGCTTCTACAGATATGGAGAATCCCTGTCTCAGGATTAGGGCTGGAGATTGCTGTCTGAATGCCCAGCCTACTCGCTCACTGCCACAGGCCTTGCAGATCTTGCAAAGTGAGCTTGCATCAGGGTCCCGCTGCTGCAGACTTAGGCAGGGCTCACACAGGGGGTCCCTCACCCTGGACCTGCCAGCAGGTGTGCAAGGTGGCACCCTGTTGTCAGCTCTCTTTTGTTCTCTCCATCCTGACTCAGAGACCATCTTTGTCTCCCTTTTTGGGTTGGGAGCAGCAGGTAGCGGTGCATGTGATGATTCCTTTTCTGTGTTGGATTGGCTGGGCTGTGTGGTACCCAGATATTTGGTCAAACATTGTTCTGGGTGTGTCTGTAGTGGTGTCCCCGGGAGATGAGCACCTACATTGGCCTTTCAGGTGAAACAGATGGTCCTTCCTTATGTAGGTGAGCCTCTCTCTACCCCTGAACAGCTCCACAGAACCAAAGGCCAGTCTTTCTCTTTGTAAGAGATAATTCCTCCTGCTTTCAGACTTAACTCTGCAGCCTGCTGTCTCCTCCTGCTTCCACCATCCTGGGAGCCAGGCCCTCGTGGTACCCCCATCCCTCTCCCGGTCGATACATCCTGGTGGTTCTGCTCCTGCAGGGAATTCTGACTACTTCTGCCGCCAAGCCCAGAGGTTCT